GGCCTGGCCGAATGTTGCTCTGCGGTATTTTGGCCCATTCCCGACGAAGCGCTTGCTTGAGGTAATCGACACCTTGCTTTCCAAAATACTCCAGACACAAAGTTCAACGGATTGGTATCCGTAGATTTTGGTGGCCATTGTGCGCTGTAAATGAAGCGATGAACCTCATTTTGAAACCATTCTTAGGTGGCGCGTGCTGAGTCGTGTTGGAATGTCCAAGGTCTGTGGCTAAAATGTAATTTATACACCCTTCAGAATATTTACGCGATAATATTCGCAATTTTTCTGATGCCACGGTCGATTAATACGAGCGGAGAGCGACCATCGACTGTTATGGCGCCTCACACCATCACCATGGCCAGCGCTTGAGTTCAGCTGACCGCTTTGGCAAGTAAATACGATCATTTTGTTTGTTTACAAACTGCTGGACAACGAATGTTTTCTCATCGGAGAAAACCAAATTCGGCAGTTTACCACTTTCGGCCAAGCGATGCAACTCTTTAGCTCTATTGAGTCTATTTTCTTTCTGTTACGGTGTAAGTTCTTGCACTTTTTTGGAATTTTAGTGGCTCATTTTTCAATATTTGCCAAATGGAAAATTGCGATATGTTCCGCTCACGAGCCATTTTTCTTCTGATGTTGCTGTTTTCTTCCGTTCACTTTCTTGACGCCGGGCTACGCTATCAGTATCACAGTAACGAGCAATGATACGAGACACAAAAGATGTATTCACATTTAAATGCTGGAGTGCTCTAACGATAGCCACTTGCGGTTTTCCAGCCAAATATAAAGAAATCACGCTTGAATTCCATCACGAATGACTTTTTTCTGGAAATTCTCACCAAAATGTTTTTGTACGCTGTGCAATATTGCAGAAGACACTTCATTTCTAAAATCCGCGAATTCCGAGGAATTTTAATTCGAAATTTGCCAAAAGTATGGAAGAGGGTAAAACTTGTCCCTCATTTTTGGCTAATTTTCGATGCAAACTTTCAAAATGCCGATACACATGTCTTCTTTTTTAGCTCTGCTTTCATAATCTGCTGGATTTTTTGTGTTGCACAGTGTTATTTAACTAATTCCCAATACAAATTATTCTCATTATCTGCATCAAAATTTCTAAAAATAATAATCAACTTTTGTTGGAAAAGTCAAAATTTGGTTTGAAATGTTAACATCATATTGATTTTAGGCTGATAACCGCAACATTCTAGTACAAAATGAGGCAATATATAGATTGGTTGTTTAAAGTCTTCCCTAAGTTCCACTCAACTCTAAATCCTTAAATTCTTAACGGCATTTAGCAAACTAGCAAATAAACATTTTATATCAACCCTACCAGCCAACCCAGCACCGTTTCTTTTCTAGCCTCACACTCAATTTATGTGCTAATTTATTTCACATAGTTTTTATTCTCCACCACTCCAGTAAAAAAAAAAGAAAAATAAAAAGAAATGTAAAGCCATTCTAGCAAAACAACACGAATCTAGGTAACTGAATATCCTCCAAAGGATACCAGCAGTCATTCGTCGTATTGCAGAATACGTGAAATGGAGATTTAAAAAGAATAAACCTTACGTTTCGTAGCTGAGTAGAGTTATTTTTCTACGTTGTTTTTTGTTCGTTTTGTTGTTTATTTTGAAAAAAAAATGACTGCTTTTTAGTAGAGAACTTTAGCTGGTGGCAGAAATAATACAAAAAACCCAACAACAACAAAAACAAAATAAATAAATACGAACAGGACATGCGACTGACACATACTACATGTGAGGTCTAACACAACTCTAACTGGCTCTACAAGATGTACGGAATTATAATTGTGGGTCGGTCGGGTAGGTTGGGTGGTAGACTGGTTGGCAGGTTCGTTGGGTGGTCGGTTGGATTTTGAAACAGCTGCTCTATAAACGCTTAGGATGTTACAATGAATTGTACAAGTTTATGTCTATATGGCGTTTTTTGTTGTGTTTCTCAACCAAAAAAGGGTCAGTTGATAGTTTGGACTTCTGGACAGTAAACAAGAATATGATGGCTGAAATGGTTATTAAATTGGAGATCTGCGACTTATTTAAACAAAAAATTACACTAATCTCACCTGTTTAGGAACATTCAAACATTTTTAAGGATAATTTTGGAGCGTATCCTTAAAATCGTAGGAAAACAAAATTAAATAAGAACGTTATTCATTGCATACTTTAAGGTTTATGCGAAAATTAAAGTCGAATGCGTATCTACAGGATGAGATGAAAAAACTGCAACCAATTTCAGACTGCTGTCATTTTAAAACCACTCGACACGGCTGTTATAATTATTCCAGTGACAGCTCATTCCACTGTTTACAAGCGCACAAAAGCATTTTGGTGAGAATTTTCCAGAAAAAAAGTTATTCGCGATGGAATTCAAGCGTGATAGTGTGATTTCTTTATATTTGGCTGGAAAACCACAAGTGGCTATCGTTAGAGCACTCCAACATTTAAATGTGAATAAATCTTTTGTGTCTCGTACCATCGCTCGTTACCGTGATACTGGCAGCGTAGGCCGACGTCAAGGAAGTGAACGGAAGAAAACAGCAAAATCGGCAGAAATGGTTCGAATAGTAAAGAATCGACTTGATCTGAACATATTGCAATATTCCATTCGGCAAATATTGAAAAATGAGCTCGGGTTAAAGCCATTGAAATTCCAAAAAGTGCAAGAACTTACACCGCGACACAAAAAAATCGACTCAAAAGAGCTAAAGAGTTGCTTCGCTTGGCCGAAAGTGGTGAAATGCGGAATTTAGTTTTCTCCGATGAGAAAACATTCGTTGTCCAGCAGTTTGTAAACAAACAAAATGATCGTGTTTACCTGCCAAAGAGGTCAGCTGAAAATGTGCACCTTCGGTTGGCCACCAGAACTTAAGCGCCGTCCATGTTGATGGTGTGGGCCGACATAACAGCCGATGGTCGCTCTCCGCTCGTATTAATCAACCGTGGCATCAGAATAAATGACGAATATTACCGCGAAAATATTCTGGAGGGTGTATTAAAGCCTTGGACACGCAAACATTTTTGCCGCAAACCTTAGACATTCCAACAGGATTCAGCACCATCGCACTCAGCACGCGCCACCCAAGAATGGTTGCAAAATGAGGTTCCTCGCTTCATTTCCAGCGCACAATAGCTTTAAAAATCTCCGGATGTCAATCCGTTTGACTATTATGTCTGGAGTATTTTGGAAAGCAAGGTTGGCCATAAAAATTATCACAGTGTCGATAACCTCAAGCAAGCGCTTCGCCAGGAATGGGCCAAAATACCGCAGAGCAACATTCGGGCAGCGTGTGACGGTTTTGTTGTCCGTTTTGAGGCCATAATTTGTGCCAAGGTGACCAATTCAAACAAATTTAAACTTATTCTAGCAGGTCATGCTATTACGACATTTTTAGCTTTCATTCAATAAAATTTAAAAAAATTCAAAAATTATGGCGTTTGAGGCGTAGAGTTATGTCCTTCTTTTGAGGCAGCCACTCATATAATGATAGCGCCAGGTATCGGAATCTGGAAAATTAAAAAAAATAAATCATAAAACATATGATCTTCGCCTCAACAAGGCAAAACTCAAAAAAAATAACTTTCCTTAAAATTTATAAGTTATATACTATTTTAAAACCCCGTTTTTATTTTCACAGTTCACAGTTGAATAAGTTTATAGGTCAGTAAAGAATACTTCAAGTTGCGTTCTCTTTTCGTTGTTGCTTTTGTTAGTGGCTTATGTTATCTTGTGCTGCAAACTGAAAGAGTTCATAAAAATTTGTTATTTCCTTTAATTTTCTTCGCATTTCCAGGGGAATTGAAGAAATGCTTCTTTAATCCCGATATGTATGTCATTGCTTCGAAGCATATTGGTATGACTAGATTTAAAAACATGTGAAAAAGCTCTAAGTTCGGCCGGGCCGATCTTTGAATACCCTCCACCATTTGGAACGATTTTTGCAATTTTCAAAAAAATAAAATCCGTTAAAATCTTAAAAATATGAAGCCGTTATATTAGGGTCTATACGACGACGTGGACCTGCATAGGCAACTTTTATCACATACCATTACAATATGCAAAAGCTAAACTTGAATAAAAAATTCGGTGAATAATGTATTTAAAATCATCAAAATACCGAATATCGGGAGGTACTGTTATATGGGGGCTATACGAAGACCTGGACCTGCACAGGCAATTTTCTTTCATAGGCTGTATTACCCATTACGAACTTCAAATTCCCAATTTAAAAGATTTCAGTTGAATAATGTCGCTTAAATCACCAAAATACCGAAAAAGGGAGGTACCATTATATGGGGGCTATACCAAAACGTGGACCTACATCACCCATTATCAATACCAAAATTTCTGCAGGCGTAATACACATTTTAGTAAAATTTTATCAACATACTACATTTCTTTCGGCAGCTAGAGTGATTTTCACAGACGGGCAGACGGATAGACGGACAGACGGACGGACATCGCTTAATCGACATAAAACTTTATGCTGATCGTATTTTGATAATTTTAGCCTAAGACAGAAAATTATCTGTGCCGGTCCACGTCTTCGTATAGTCCCCATATAACGGGGCTTTTTGATATTCGGTATTTTGATGATTTTAGTTTACATTATTCACCGATTTTTTATTCAGAATTTTTAACGGATTTTATTGTTTTTGAGAATTGCCAAATTTGTTCCAAATGGTGGAGGGTATTCAAAGATCGGCCCGGCCGAACTTACAGCTTTTTTGCTTTTTTAATATTATGACTTTCGACCTTAGAAGTTCTGCCTAAAATATTTATACAAAATAAATAGCTTTCCAAATCCTGTTCAAAAATCCACAGCAAATATTTCCTTTATATTTGTACAGAAACCTGTGCTTGCATTCATCAGAGCTCACCCTTTATCATGCTCACAAGATTTCCTACAAATCCCTTTCACCTACTTTTCATTTTAGATATACTTATAACCTATTTTTTCTTTCTCTTTGCAGCTCTCCGCTGTCGGTAGCAATCTTAATTTACGCTCCAGACCTACAGCCGGCCTGGTAAGACCACACTCCGCTGATTTCCTGGAATATGAAGCCCGTGCTGAGGCCGCCTCTGATGCTGCTGCTGTTGCAGCTGCTACAGCAATGATCAAACCTGATCCAGTTCGAGCCCCTCGTCCCAAGTCAAGTTTGGACATCAATCGCACCCCCGATAGTTTCTACTATTCCGAAGAGAACTATGCCGAGAAAATGCGCAAGAGTGCATTGTATTTGCAAAATCCACAAGCCCAACCGCAACCGGCGGCTGGGTCATACCGCATGGCAACAGGCTCTACCGATTTCCTTAGCCCTGTGGCCAGCGGCATGAATACCATTGCCTATGAGAATCCATACGAGCGGATCTATAAGCGTAACGAATTGTTGCAAGATGCTTTAGGTAATCAAGCAGGTCATACTAGCATACCACGTATGAGTCGTTCACAGACCATGGGCAATGGGGCCCAGATTCGTTCATCATCCACTCACCCACATCATCCACTTTCACCAACGGGCACAACATATCCGCAACAGCCACCACCGCTGCATACGCCATTACTTTCATCCGGTCTCACGACACAAGAAATTATCCAACAAAATGAACAGTTCCTACGTTCAGCTAGTGCTCGCTTACCTAAACGTTCATCCACATTTGATGATGAACCACTATCTACGACCACAACCACTACAACACCAACCTCTCCTCCTCCTCCATCCACAGGCACAACAGCAGCAACAACTCCAACTGCAAATGGCAGCAACTCGGCTGCCGCCACCTCGGCCCACTTGGAGGGCGAGCGTAAGCGAGAAGAGTCCATGAAACGTTTGCTGGAATGGAAGCAACGTATGCTGCAATCACCATTAACACGTAAATCAGCCCAGCATGTTTCGAATTCGGCCAGTGCAGCCACACTGGTAGGCCAGAAGACAAATGGCAGTTCGGCCACGTCCAGCGCTGCCACTAAATTGGGCAGCAATAATGATGGCAATGGCAAGCCTAGTTCCAGTTCAAATTTAACTGCTATGTCTAAATTGGGAAGCAATCCCAACATCCTGTTAACCTCGACCACTGTGGCCAGTGGCATCCATCTGGGTGGTGGTGGGCCAAAAGGTAGTACAAGCATGGCTGGTGGCAGCACAGCTGGTATTATACAACGTCGACGCTCGGAAAGTCAGGCCATAAGTGGTACGACAGCAACGGCAGCTGGTTATAATTCCTATTCCTCGGATGATGAAGGTAATTAATAATGCACACGCATACTGTACGCATAACAAAGACAAAGACCAAAAAACACACACACTTGCACGCAAACTGACACATACACACACACACTTTGGCACAGTTTGAACTTCTAATTGGGCAAATGCATAGCTAAGAGTGGGTCGAAACAAATCTAATATTTGAGCAATCAATTATTATGTGGACTTTTAGGACAACAACATTATATGTCTATGGGCCAATGTCGCTAAATTTTTATTCGAAATAATACTCATTGCCACTGATAGATCTTCATTTAGTGCCAGTCCAAAAATGCAATACATTCAAACTTGGTCAGCAATTTTCCTACATTTTCCTTACCAGGGGCCAGTAAAAAACCTATTGAGATTAACGCCCGGTACAAAAACTAAATTGAATAAAATAATTCATGGGCATCTTGAATTCCAATTCTTTTCGACTCAATTTGTTCTATTTTTAAAACTATTGGGGTGAAATTATGTTGCACCCATTTTCTTGATGTGTCCATTGCTGGTATTGCTATCCCAATTGTCTTCTTTGTACACAGTTAAAACTTTAAATGCCTTTAAGCCTTACAAAAATATTTCTTTCATTTTTTTTCGTCAACGTTGAGTTTTAAACTCACAACCTTTGATTTTGTAGTCGGACATTCATACTCTTTGCCGCCATTACTTGGTAATGATTAAAATGAGATCATTCGCTTTGTATTTTTTATGGAATATCCCATTGTTTTTAACCTACAGGGAATACATACAGCATTTTGTTTACATTACCTTGTAATGGGTTATTCAGCTCATTTTTAGACATATTATATCAACTCGGACTCCAACACAAACGTACTACTTTACTGATTGTTTGTGCAATCTCATATTGTATTGCCTAAATCAATCAAAATATCCTGACCATTTTCACAATTTCGACCCACTCTAAGTTGCACTACATTACCACACGAAACTACACCTTACACACAAATTACACCAAACTTTTTTTCGATTGCTTTTGATATACAAAACAAAACGAACATTTTTTGGACAAACACCTTCTTTGTACTTTCTCCTCTCTTTACCTTTTTGTATGTCCTTTATTACTAGTCTATTTCTTACCTACTGGGAATCCTTTGCACAGTACTTTACCTAGCCTACTATTTATAAAAAATAACCTTTTTTCTCCCAATATTTTGGAAAATATTTTATTTCTTTGCTCTGCGTAAATGTTTGTATACTTACACACACACACACTCTATCTGTCCTTTTTTTCTCTCTTTGCTGATATTTTTAACAAAAAAATGGACAAGGAATTTTAATTCTTTATGTTTGAAATTATTTCATTTGCATCTGAGACTAGTGGCGATTTCTTTTGAACTTCCTCTTTACTGCCTGATTTAATTAGTTCGTATTATTATCTTAATTTCTTTTTAATTTACGATACCTATTTCTAAATATATCTGTAGTTTGTAAGCTATATGCATGTTTTATTAAATCTAGAAGTTATCTTCAATATGAGATCTGAAGTCTATACGTAATTGGTCACATTAGTAGATCAGAATGAAGATCTCTTTTTCTATTGTGTTTCTTTACATTATGTTATTATGATTGTGGAGCTAAAACTAGAAGACACATGTTGCTTTATAATTCACCTAAGAAAATGAACTTCTGTTTCCAATATATATCAAAAGACCCGAGCATATTTCCAAATGTTTAAACATTTTTTTCTAGTTGATACATGAAAGTAATAAAACTTTTGTTGAAGGCAGATAGTGTCAGAAGGCTAAATATTTTACAAAAAATTTTCACTATAAATCTCAAAAAAATATCAAAGTCAAAATTTCCCTTAATTACTAATTTTTTCGGGAAAGTGTCAAAAGAAGAAATATTGTAGATCAAACTTTAATGTGAACCTCTGAAGAAAAGAAACTTTTACACTTAATATGTACCATAAAAATTTAATCAATTTGGGTTTATAAAAAAATTTCTTATTATTGAAAAATTTGGCAAATTTTTCAAATTCTCTGCAGATCTTGATAATATTGCTGCCTCTTAGCCTGGGTCGTGTGCCCGGTTTAAAGATCAAAACCCCAAAAGAGTTTCGGAATCTTAAGCCAAACGTTTTTAAGGCTTTTATATAGCCTTTGCCAATTACACCAATATTTTGAGATCTATTTACCAACATATAATATACAGGGTAGATAAAAAATGTGAACCTCTGAAGAAAAGAAATTTCTACACTTAAAATGTACCATAAAAATTAAATCAATTTGGGTTTATAAACAAAAACTTCTTATTTTCGAAAAACTTGGCACATTTTTCAAATTTCCCGTAGATTTTAGTAATCCTAACCTAAATGCCTGGGTCGTGTACCCGGTTTAAAGATCAAAGCTCCAAAAAATTTTGGGATTCTTAGGCTAAACGTTTTAATGCTTTTATATTGTTTTTACCAATTACAGCAATATTTTTAAATCTATTTGGCAACATATAATATACAGGGTGAGATAAAAACTGCAACAAAGTCAATCGCCATAATTTTCACTTTTTTTAATTTTATTGAATGAGAGCAAAAACTGTTGGAAATAGCATTAAATTTTAGAATAAGTTTAGATGTGTTCGAATTGGTCAATTATGGCTTTCAAACGGCCAATGAACAGCCACACGCTGCCCTAATATTGCTCTGCCGAATTTTGACACATTCCCGGCGAAGCGCTTTTTAGTGCCAACCTTGCTTTCCAAAATACTCCACACACAATAGTCCAACGGATTGATATGCGGATATTTTGGTGGCCATTGTGCGCTGGAAATGAAGCTAGGAACCTCATTTTGTAACCATTCCAGTCGCGCGGTGCGCGTGCTGAATGCGATGGTGCTAATGCCAAAATGTTTGCGTGCCCAAGGCTTTAATACACCCTCCAGAATATTTTCGCGATAATATTCGGCATTTATTCTGATGCCACGGTCGATTAATACGAGCGGAGAGCGACCATCGGTTGTTGTGGCGGCCCACACCATCACCATGGCATGGGAAGTAAACACGATCATTTTGTTGGAAATGGCAGCAGTCTGAAGTTGGCTGCAGTTTTTTCATCTCACCCTGTAGAGCGCTTTTATAGAGAGCTTTGGGTTTGTTTAACAAGAACAAGGATTATTTGTTGTAAAAATGGGTAATGTCGGTCAATTTCTTGGTTTAGTCCCTTTATGAAGTTAAACCTCGATTTCATGTATTTTTTGAGTTTTAGCCACATTTTTCATTTAATTTCGCAAAAATTCTGGAATTTATAGTGTTATTATGAAGAAGCACTACTATTTACAATATAATTATTATTAATATACGTCCACATTTTGTTAACAGCCTTTTTTAAGGGGAACCCCTCGTTTTTTGGTAATTTCAAGGGTCTTAGCAATATTTTCCGATCGATTTGGCTTAAACATGGTTTCTAAGAGCGTGAGTACCTCTGGGCTCGCACAGTCATCTCTTCATAATTTTCGATTTTCCTGTCATTGGTTTTTCTATCATAAACCAAAAAGTATGCTACGAAGAATGTTCAGGGTTCAGCAGCGAGCTGTACGAAAATGAAGAGAGTAACAATCTGCTTTGATTTACACAGTTTATACTCGGTCTAAAAATGCTCTTTAGTCGTAATTGGAGTTGAAAGTACTCGGGAAATTCATCTTTTGATTTTTTTTCTCACACCCGGCGTATAATGAAAGTTTTAAGTATTTCTTTCATCACTTTAAAATTGTAAATATTTGTTAAAAAAAAAACAAAGACTCAATAAATTTGAATTAAATTGGTATTATATAAAAGAGTAATTATGTACTCGACATGTAACATAGAAAGCAACTTTAAAACTCCAAACATTTGGAAACACTGCCAATGTGTTAGGATATAAGGTATACATATATCGCACTATACTATTTGCTATAGCTTTTATTTTAGTATAATACCTCAAATGCTTTTTTATAGCCAATAAAAACCTTAATTGGTACATGGTTTTATATTTTGCTTCAATTCTTCTTTTTGTTTTTTGCTTTATTCTGCTATCGCCAATCTGTTTTGTTTGTTTTTCTTTTTATTTTATAATTTTTGTTATTATTTTTAATTAATAATTTCTTTTGGATAAAATGCAATGAGTAAAAATGCTGTCCAAACAACAGTCAATCCACCATCCATTCGCCACTGCTATTATAATTCTACTGCAATAATAAAACAAAGTAAAATAAAACAACAACAACAACATCTAGAGCCTTCCTGCCGAGCGTTTAACAATCGCAACTCAACAACAAACAAAACTTAAACAAACAGAAAAGAAATAAATATTTAATGTTATGTTTATAAATATTTTGAATTTCAAATTGAAAAAAAATTAACTAAGTATAGTTGTCAACACTACTTTTATTGTATTTATTTATTTACACAAAAACGTTACAATTAACCAACCTATAAAGGCTATACATTTTAATTAACTTGTATTGGTTACATTTTCAGTGTTATATTGATATGGAGACTAGTAAAGGCGGTCAGATCGCTTCGAGAGGGAAAGAGTGTCAAAAAGTACTTAAATTGCTTGCTTGGTTTAGTTATTTACTGATTTATACGTATCCTATTGGAAATAGTCAGAAATGCCTTTCAAACAATTCCGGGAGCTCAACGGACAAAAAAAATGATATTTTCAAGCAAAATATTCCCTCCTGGCCACGTCGATATTTTAGAGCCGCAATGCCGAACTATATATAACAATGTGCTAAAAGCTTAAAAAATTTAAAATCTATACTTAAACAACGATGTCTTTCAATTTCCAAACATATGTGTTTATGACAGAAACTATTGCATAATTTTAGGCAACTTTTTGCTCTTTCAATTTTCTCTTTCATGATTTGAGTAAAACCAACATTTCTTTTGGATGTTATTTTTAAAAAAAAACTAGACCTTCATAACATTTGTATTTTTATACCCTCCACCATAGTATGGAGGGTATATTAAGTTTGTCATTCCGTTTTTAACACCTCAAA